TACAGAATGGATACATTCTTTTAACTTGAATTTTGGATTTAATTATATCATGACACGGAATGGATACATTCTTTTAACTGGAATTTGGAGGATTTAATTATATCATGAAACAGAATGGATACATTCTTTTTACTTGAATTTGGGATTTAATTATATCATGATACGGAATGGATACATTCTTTTAATTTGAATTTGGGGGATTTAATAATATCATGATACAGAATGGATACATTCTTTTAACTTGAATTTGGGATTTAATTATATCATGATACGGAATGGATACATTCTTTTAATTTGAATTTGGGGGATTTAATCATATCATGAAACAGAATGGATACATTCTTTTTACTTGAATTTGGGATTTAATTATATCATGATAAGGAATGGATACATTCTTTTAACTGGAATTTGGGATTTAATTATATCATGATACGGAATGGATACATTCTTTTAACTGGAATTTGGGATTTAATTATATCATGATACGGAATGGATACATTCTTTTAACTGGAATTTGGGATTTAATTATATCATGATACGGAATGGATACATTCTTTTAACTGGAATTTGGGGGATTTAATAATATCATGATACGGAATGGATACATTCTTTTAATTTGAATTTGGGGGATTTAATCATATCATGAAACAGAATGGATACATTCTTTTTACTTGAATTTGGGATTTAATTATATCATGATACGGAATGGATACATTCTTTTAACTGGAATTTGGGATTTAATCATATCATGAAACAGAATGGATACATTCTTTTTACTTGAATTTGGGATTTAATTATATCATGATACGGAATGGATACATTCTTTTAACTGGAATTTGGGATTTAATTATATCATAATACGGAATGGATACATTCTTTTAACTGGAATTTGGGGGATTTAATAATATCATGATACAGAATGGATACATTCTTTTAACTTGAATTTGGGATTTAATTATATCATGATACGGAATGGATACATTCTTTTAATTTGAATTTGGGGGATTTAATCATATCATGAAACAGAATGGATACATTCTTTTTACTTGAATTTGGGATTTAATTATATCATGATACGGAATGGATACATTCTTTTAACTGGAATTTGGGATTTAATTATATCATGAAACACAATGGATACATTCTTTTTACTTGAATTTGGGTTTTAATTATATCATGATACAGAATGGATACATTCTATAAACTGAATTTGGGGGATTTAATAATATCATGATACGGAATGGATACATTCTTTTAACTGGAATTTGGGATTTAATTATATCATGATACAAAATGGATACATTCTTTTAACTGGAATTTGGAGGATTTAATAATATCATGATACAGAATGGATACATTCTTTTAACTTGAATTTTGGATTTAATTATATCATGACACGGAATGGATACATTCTTTTAACTGGAATTTGGAGGATTTAATTATATCATGAAACAGAATGGATACATTCTTTTTACTTGAATTTGGGATTTAATTATATCATGATACGGAATGGATACATTCTTTTAACTGGAATTTGGGGGATTTAATAATATCATGATACAGAATGGATACATTCTTTTAACTTGAATTTGGGATTTAATTATATCATGATACGGAATGGATACATTCTTTTAATTTGAATTTGGGGGATTTAATCATATCATGAAACAGAATGGATACATTCTTTTTACTTGAATTTGGGATTTAATTTTATCATGATACGGAATGGATACATTCTTTTAACTGGAATTTGGAGGATTTAATTATATCATGAAACAGAATGGATACATTCTTTTTATTTGAATTTTGGATTTAATTATATCATGATACGGAATGGATACATTCTTTTAACTGGAATTTGGGATTTAATTATATCATGATACGGAATGGATACATTCTTTTAAAAATAGAAGAAAAAAAATATGCATGGGTGATGGTTTTTAATGATTTTAAGAAAAATAGAAAAAAAAAAGAAAAAAATGCTTGGGGTTTAATTATATCGTGATGCAGAAATGGGTCCATTATTTTATCTTGAATTTGGGATTTAATTATATCATGATATGGAATGGATACATTCTTTTAACTTGAATTTGGGATTTAATTATATCATGATACGGAATGGATACATTCTTTTAATTTGAATTCGGGGGATTTAATCATATCATGAAACAGAATGGATACATTCTTTTTACTTGAATTTGGGATTTAATTATATCATGATACGGAATGGATACATTCTTTTAACTGGAATTTGGGATTTAATTATATCATGATACGGAATGGATACATTCTTTTAACTGGAATTTGGGATTTAATCATATCATGAAACAGAATGGATACATTCTTTTTACTTGAATTTGGGATTTAATTATATCATGATATGGAATGGATACATTCTTTTAACTTGAATTTTGGATTTAATTATATCATGATACGGAATGGATACATTCTTTTAACTGGAATTTGGAGGATTTAATTATATCATGATACGGAATGGATACATTCTTTTAACTGGAATTTTGGATTTAATTATATCATGATACGGAATGGATACATTCTTTTAACTGGAATTAAATATAATTAAGAGTATACATTTTTATTTCTGAGGATTGTTTTGATATATGTAAGTGAACAGCAACCAACAACACATGCAAACAAAAAAACGTCAAAAGATTAGTTAATACATTTTAAATAAAGATAAATAATGTTAATACCTTTTGTCCTTCATTTGGAAATTTCAAGATAAAATAATATGGAAATTTATAAATGAAAAGGAATAATGATATATTCCCTTTAAATTTTAATAAAACCATAATTCATGTCTGATGTTAAAGATAAAGTTAAAAAATGGTGAAATAATTTTTCAAATTTTCAAATTTTAGATCAAATTGCCCTTAAAAATCAGACGTAGAACATATATGTATTAGCTATTCCTAAACCATTTTACAGATTTTTAAAGGAACTTTCTGAACAGAACATTTAAGATACCAATTTCGTAATGCAAGGTTTATCAGTATAATTTTGGGAATTTCCCAAAGTAAAGGATGTTAGTCTGAGAAAGATCTCCAACCCTTCCGGGATATATTATTCTGACTCAGAGTCAACTAGACTTTGCTCTTACTTTTAAATACTACTTGCTTAAGGGAGAAGCAGCAAATACCCCTTTTAAAGTCTTTGGTTTGTCCATACATGGGATAGAGCCCTTTACCTCCAGCACATCAGGCAAGCATAGGACCATTGAGGAGGTTATAATTGGTAGTGAAAAGTATTCTTTTTTAAAATATTCATATTCATTTTATTTTTGTTTATTTGAAAATTCTGTTGTTCAATTCCTAGTAGTAACAGAAAACATCAATTTTTATATTTGGTTTAAAAATATTTAATTGAAAAGTATGTCTCCATGTAAAATTATCCATCCCTCTACAGGTTGTATCTTAATATAAAAAACATCTTATTCTTAAAGTATCAACACTAACCATTACTAACAATTGGTACTTAATTAAATAGGTTGGAAGGATGGAAGACAAGAGAGGGAGAGAAATGAAAGGGGAGAGGGGAGGGGATAGGGGAGAGAGAATAATAGAGACTGATGGAGTGAGTTTTCAGATAAGGGTTTAAGGTACTAGTCTTGTAGAGGGATAGGTTTTTAATATCTTCTTTTAGAAAGAGAACTTCTTGTTAACAATATGAATATGAGTAGGAATACAAACCAATTTTTATTTTTGGTATGCAAATCCAGTCTGAAAGTCTTTGTTTTAAAATAATGGGTCTATTACATTTCAAAATTATTTCCAAGTCTAAAATTTTTGAGACCCCAGTGGCCGATCCAGGGGTTGGGGTTGGAACCCCCCCCTTTTTTTTTTAATGATAATGCATTTGAATGGGGACACATATTTAAAACCCGCACTTTCTCCTGGGTTGGATCCCCCTTTTTTTTAAAGATTGCTGGTTCCTCCCCTGAACCCTTTCTCCCTTCCTATTTGGTAAAGACGTATAAGATTGTGTCCATTGTACACGGATGCCCCATCCGCACTATCATTTTCTATGTTCAGTGGACTTTGAAAATGGAGGAAAAAAAACTAATTTGGCATTTAAATTAGAAAGATGATATCATAGGGAAGTGTACAAAGTTTCAAGTTGATTGGACTTCATCAAAAACTACCTCATCCAAAAAAATTTACCTGAAGCAGGACGAACGAACGGAGGCACAGACCAGAAAACATAATGCCCATAAATGAGGCATGATAAATGTTTGCATTGAAAACTCCCTTAATAATTTGTATAACAACAGCCAGTCTAGCCTGTCATAATTCAGTAACTACAAGCTATTTATCTATTCTGGAAAGATATGACTGTTTCAACGCCACTTGTAGTACTCCTGGCTATTACAAGGCTGCCAGTTTTTATTGGCGGAAGCCATATAAATGGCACCTGAAAAAACACTGACCTTCAGTGTCTTTTAATGTTGTCCAAAGTTTCTGTTGAAATGTTTGTACTGGTTTGAGGTATTGCTGATTAAAAGTGTAGATGTCTGAATAAACAAAAAACATCCTTTATCATGTTTTAGATTAAAAAGTAATTATATCCAAATTTGCAATTTAGTTTCAGCACAAACGTTAAGGATAATTGTTGCAGAAGCCCTTTTTATTTAAAGGAAACAATATAAGATTTTAAATTTTGAATCTTCCAAAATAAATCTTTTCAGTTTTGTAAAGTGGTACATTGTGAAATTTATAATTAAAAAAACAAATCTTTTCTAATAATAAGGGACATAACTCTCCAATGGTAAAAAAATTCTAAACCCATCAAAATAATGTAAATGCTTAAAGCAGCTTTCAGATTTGTTAGTTTGTAAATACAAAATTAGCCTCCTCCTGGCCAAATGAAACTTAATTAACTTTGTAATAGAATTTTCCATGCCAAAAACAATTTTATTGGATAAAAAATATGAAGTAAAAACAGTGACCTTTATAATCTTAAGCTTTTTGGTACCAGAAAAAAAATTATCAAAGATACTTATTATTTGGCCACAACATTTAATAATTTTTTAGACACCTATTATCACAGAATATAATTTTTGCCATCTTAATTATATTGTTAAGTGTGTTGTTGGCATGCTGTCTCATTGAAATATACCTCAGATCCTCTTTTATCTTATTCAAGATTTTCAGAAAAGCAATTTAAAAATTTGTTAAAAGGTTTATTCTCTAAATAAATAGAATAATTGGTCCAGTGATCAATGGAGAATGTAAATGAGATGTGGTAAAAATGCCAATGAGATGTGCTTAGAATGCCAATGAGATGTGTTAATACAACTAATGAGATGCTCTAAGAATGCAAATGAAATGTGGTAAAAATGCCAATGAGATAAAGCTAAAGATATGTTGTAATAATGCTAATGAGATGTGGTAATAAATCTAATGAGATGTGGTAATAAAGCTAATGAGATGTGGTAATAAAGCTAATGAGATGTGGTAATAAAGCTAATGAGATGTGGTAATAATGCTAATGAGATGCGCTAAAAATACTAATGAGATGTGGTAATAATGCCAATGAGATGTGGTTAGAATTCCAATGAGATGTGGTTAGAATGCCAATGAGAACTATCCACCAGAGATTGAGCCACAAGGCTGCAAAAACTATCTTTCTTTCATGTGAATTTTGTGTATACTTTGTATACTTTGTAAGCTCCCCTACAGCTGATAGTTAACATTTTCATCAAATTATGATTTAAATTATCCTTTCTTTAAATAAAATTATTTGGTAATTAAACTTTTTTAAATAAACATTGAAAAAGCTTCTAAATTTTCTGAAAAAATTACATTAAATAGGCACTTTTGAATTTTTTGCCTATTTAAAAAAAAATATACCAGTAATGGCACAAGGACAGAAGATGTGTGGAATCAAATAGGTAACAACTATAGTGATAATGAAATATTCTAATAATAACCAGTTTTTTAATGTCTTGACTTAATGGACTTATTGTATGATGATATATGCGACCAGTTAGAATAGTGGACAATGAAATATTCAAACATGGAACTGACTGAAGTTAATAGACATAAAATTCAAAATTGAAACCAGCAAGTGAATTATTTACAACGGCCATGGAACCAGCAAGTGAATTATTGACATTTATTTTGATGTGACCAGTATTCATGTGGATGGACAGTACTAGTGGACTATAAACTGATAAATCTCACAGAAAGGCACATCACAACTGAGTCTGAAGCTGTTACATACAAAAGACAAGGTAATTAAAATAAAAAAAAACATGGCAACATTACTCTGATTACATTTTGCAATTAACCTTATGGCTCTTATTTTATTTTTGGTGTGTTAATTCACTGTGTTTTCAGAAAAGCTATCAAGATAAATGCATAAAGCCAAAGGTCTTCATTAATATATTCTGATAAAGTGTACAACCAAATTTTTTTGCACCGGTAGTTTTTGCATTGGAGCAATAAAAAAAAAATTCATCCAGAAAATAGATTTAGTAATACAAACCCCACCACAATGAAGGATATATACACTTACTTGCTCTGAATAGAAAAATTGACTTGTAACATTAAAATCATGCATAACCTTAAAAGAAATAAAAATCTGAAACAGTACTTTTAAGTTTGCACAGCCCAGTAAAGTACTTAGTGGAAAATTGTCCTACTTTGACTTATAATTAAAATTCCATATAAGCATTTTTAAGGATGTACTTGGGTGGTATAAGGTAAAAATTAATAAATCAAGCATTTAAAATTGATACTTTAAGCTGAAAGAGTATTAGTTAAGGATCAAAATAAACTAAAAATATTGATAGGTCATGCAGCTCCTTTTCGAGATATTTGATTTATAAAATATGGCAGGAAAAGGCTGGCTCAGACTTTTACCTTATATTTGCATTGGTATAATTTGGGTCTCAAATCAAAAGAAAAAAAATCAAGAATCTGCTTAAATTTTGTTAAATGACCTTTTATGAGCTATTATAAGTCTTATATGAAAAAAAAAAGGGTGTTATGGGGCAAAATATTTTACCTTGTATCGTATCGAAAAACACCAATAAGTCCGAACATTTAACACACATTCCAAAACCTCACCTAAGTACATCCTTAAGGATATGACTGTACATGATTTTTTCTTCTTCAGATATCCAGGAAATAAGAATTGTATGTGATCTATTTAAAGATCTTAGGACAGTAGGACCTGGAAGTACTGTATTACCAACTTCAAGGTAAGTTTACAGTAAAAACAAAATGGTTATGAAATATTGCTCCTGCAATTATACAATGGAAACTTGATTATCATCATACCTTTTTTATCCATAATACTGTTAATATAAAAAAAGAGAGAAGATGTGGTATGATTGCCAATGAGACAACTCTCCACAAGAGACCAAAATGACACAGAAATTAACAACTATAGGTCACCGTACAGCCTTCAACAATGAGCAAAGCCCTGAGCCACACAGTCTTGACCAAATATTTGAAAGTTTGAAATTTTGATAAGAAACATTGATACTAGCAAGATTAAATACTCTTGTTTCTCAGTTATATGTTATGTTTAATGCTTATAAATGTGATGCAAAAATTATAATGGCATGGTAACTTTCCTTTAAGGTGGAATGGGAGAGTCTAAATTAAAAATGATAGAATTTGTTCATACTTTGCCAAAGCGTAGTAAATATTAAAATATGTTCAAAAATATTATAAAAACGTATGGTCACAGCACATTTGTTCAAGCTACAGGTTGTTACAAAATGACATATTGTGTATGGATTATACAGGAAAAAACATCATTATGTGATTAGAATCTAAACTAAATGATAGAATTGTAAAATAGAATACGAAAAGTTAGCTTTTAGAAAATGCTTTGAGAATATCAAAAGAAAAGATAGGGTCACAGTGCGTTTTATCTGGCTAAAATTCAAAATAGCAAAATTCCAAGTAGATTCCTTCAGAAAATGCACTATTTCAGAGTTACTTCACTTAAAATGCCAATTTGAAATTATTAAAATTCAAGCAGAAATAATCTTGTAAAAATATTAATATTTATGAGTTATAATCTTATAAATCTTTGAAATGCAAATTCACACAAGTTATCTACATTTCTGCATCTAATTTTGCTAACTTGATTGAAAATCTGGACCTTAGATTCTCTGTTTTTTACAAACCAAGATGGAGAAAACCTTAAGAATGTTCAAAATATGCATGATATATTGATCACTGGACATTAAGCATGCAACAATCAATCAATCAATCCTATATGTATATATGGTATGAATCACTTCTGACATATCAAGAATTAAAAATGTTATTTTGTCAATTTAATTGCCATGTTTTAATTGACATTTTGTTGTTTCTTTGTAGATTAACTGAGCTTGAGAAATTACAAATCAACTGATACAGAAGAAGAGACTTTGCCATGTGGATGAACTTGGAAACAATTATTGACAAACAATATAGTGTATTAGTATTCTTGTACAATTCAATAGAGAGAGAGAGAGAGAGAGAGAGAGAGAGAGGAAGGATAGGAGAGAGTCAGTTGTAAAGATTTATGTCTTTTTAACCAGACATGTCGATTACATTAGAATTTCAGAGGCCTACAGTTCTCCCTTAAATGGTCATAGTTAATACATGAAGTAGTTAAAGTAGAGGACTTTAGTGTGACCAGTGAAAACAATCAGGCAGCTGCCATTGGTTTAAATCTCTTTTTTCGAAGATGTTTTGGTTACATTAGAATAAATCTGTGAGGAATGACAAAAAAAATGCTAAATAAATAATTTGTGGTATTTTGTACAGTTTCATTATGCAATCTTGAATACATTTATGATTACTATTTATAAAGAAGTATTATCATTAGAATGAGGATGGAAAATGTTTAAACATTTATTTGAGACAGAGTTTTGCATTATTTCATTAAAATTATTAAATTCTTTTTGTGTGAATGAAGGACAAACAGGGAAAACAGAAGCTATTCTATGAATTTCAAATTGTATTTATTTACATTTGATTGATTAGTTGAAGATTAACTACACGTATTCAGCATAGTACAAAATTAAGGATGCACTGCAAGTGTATATTATCTTTATAGTTATCATCACACTATGTCCAATCTAGATGTACAACACTCTTTTTTATAGTGTTCTGTAAATTATCAGGAACACCAGTTGTGATGAATGGGAAGACTGGCAGGCTGAGAAATGGGTATAAGGGGAGGGAATACCCCTGCTTATCTTTTCATACTGGTTAGTTCCTTTGGTAAAGGTTTTGTACAAATGTTGTTCATATCAGATGTATACTATTTGAAGAGAGTTGTTATTTGGAGCTCAAAAAAAAAAAAAAAAAAAAAAAAAAAAAAAAAGAAGAGAAAAAAAAGAATAGAGTTCTAGATAATAACTGGGTGGTATGAAATGTGGGTTAAATATTTTCGGTATATTTACAATGATTTTTTTTTTTTATTTATGCATCTGATATTTTTTGTGTATAAAATGTTTTGTTATTTTTTACAGAATTGCTTTAGTTGCCTTCCTGACTAACATTTATTGGTGAATGGAGAGACTAGCAGGCTGAGATTGAGGCGTAAGGGGAGGGATTACCCCTGCTTTTCTCTTCATACTTGTAAATTCTGTCACTGCACGGAAGGTCAACAATTAAGAATATATAAGTTATTATTTTTTTATGTATCAATGTAAGTTAGATAAGTTATATCAGATGTATATAAAGTAAGATAAAAGTATTCTTTAGAGCTCTGTAAAAAAAAAAGCTTGTAAACAGAGGTCTAGATAATGCATTAAGGGGTTTGGTTTGGCATGGGGATTTCAAATTTTATTTACAAGTCATCATCTACAAAAATGCATCGGATATTATTTGCCCCAAGCCCAATTTTGTGTCCCAAATATAATGACTACAGAATAATGGTGACAGCTTGGTCAACACCCTTATTTTAAGTTTGATTCACCCCTCCTTTCGTCGCCCACCCCACCCCACCCCACCCTTTTAATAAGTAGTTATAGGTTAAGGTTTCTTATTGGGATTAATGATTAATTGATTGATTTTAATTAAGTGTCACAGAATTATTAAGATACTAATTTCTGTGTAACAAGATTAATCTCCAATATTTGAAGGTGTTTTGATCAAGTTTTATTAAACTCAAAATGTTTAGTATTTCATCAGCTCTGTCGAAAACAAAATAGAAATTTACCTCTATAGATATATCTGCATTTTATATGCTACGAAATTTTGCCTGTTTTACAAAGATTTATCTAACAAAATGAAAAACCCTGTCCATGAAATTGATTTAATTGAACTTTCACACTGTTGATAATAACCCTGTTTGTTCATGACAATTTTACATGTGGTAGTCTCGATGTAATATATAGTTCTTCCACTAACAACCCTGTTTGTTCATGACAATTGTACTCTTGAAATATCTGTTACAATTACACACCCATGCTTTTTCCCTATAGGGTTTTTTAATGCAGGGTGCATGTTTTTCTATGTTACCATATGTTTGTCTCTCTTTTTAATAAAGAACAATTACATAGAAATGTTTCTGTTTGTTGAAAAATTGAAAGGTCCTTATTTAGTTCCTCTTCAAAGGTATGAGTTTGTTACAAATATCTTGACCCTAGCATAATTCATCAATTTTGATGACCGACTATGTCCTTGAGGCTAGGTCAGACATAAAAACTGGTATTTGCAGCTTCAAGGCCAAGGACACAATCCATTTAGAAGAAGTACTTGTCTGTCATATTTGTTTTTCATAAATTATTTGGTTATAAATTAGTCTGTTAATTCTTGTTTGAATCATCTCCCCTTGTTTTGTCCTAGGGATTATATAGAAAACTTCCTGGTATACAGTATTGATTTTGCTCATTGTTGAAGGCTGTACAGCAACATTTAGCTGCTTATAATTAGCCTCATTTGAACTTTGGAGCACCTATAGACTAGTTGTCTCATCAGCAATCATACCACATCTTATTTTATAGACTGGTTGGCTGGAGTCTGAATATTAATTAAGGGTATGTTGATCTAGTTTGAGGTTAAAATGTCGAAAGCCACAGATCAAAAATGGAAGTGAAAGGTTTTTTGGGGAACTTCAAGGAATTATGCTGCAATTTAATCTGTATTTGGATTCATTGGCTAGTGGTAGTACGTTAGAGAACCACAACCTTCGACAGGAAAACTGACAATTATAGTCCATTAAGATGAGTCAAGTGCACTTGCCACATGCAGGGTTCGAACTTACAACCTCTGCGTTGAAAGGCTAGTGATAGAGTAGTTTTAACTACGACAACAACGCCACCAAGGCCTCACCTAAATTTGGATATATGTTATTTAATAAGAAAGATCCTATCAAATATGATGTCTTTAAGTTCAAGGTCACATACGAAAACAAACTAAAAGCAGTGCAGAAGCAGTGTTTTCGCACATAGAACCTTGCTAGGAAGTAAACTTATATATGGTAAATCAATACATGGAAGACCCCAAATAATTTGTTAGTCCACATATAAAGGGTAATTCATTTCAGGACAGTACCTTTGAAACATTTCACAACAATTGAGACTATTTTTGTGGTATGATTTCAACAATAGTTTACGTATTATATAAAATGCTATTCCGAATTATTCCATATGTCAAAAAAAAAAACATGAATGATTCCCAATTATTGGAGAGCCAACACATGAAACATCTATGCTTAGATTACATGTATAAGTTTGCTAATAAGTCAATTCAAGGAGAACCACAATTGGTAGGTCAGTGGTATTTGATGTGCAGTTGTATTAGCATTGGCACATATCAAGTTCATGGAGATTATTTGGCCCTGCCCCTTCAGTCATGGTCTATTGACTTCGAAACTTGAGCTGAATTTACATGTTTTGTGATTGTCTGCAAGGTGATCCATCTCATTTCCATGGCTTCTTTTTGGCCCAGCCCCCTCAGTCCTTTAAATTGCATAGTTTACATTTTGAAGTTGTGATTAGATCAGTTTATGATTACTGTAAATTCAGAAACTATTGTGTGCATTTATTATTGAGATTTTGTCAGTTTAGACTTAAATGCGATTTCAATTTTTACGATTTTGAGAAAAATCCTGTTTAATTCATATAAAATATTTCAAAATGCGAGATTAAATTATTGGGTTTACAACTTTTTCGCAATAATAAAAACCTCGCAATAATTTCTGACTTTACAGTAACCAACAACACTAAGTCAATGATATTTAGTGTGCAATTGTAATAGCATTCCCTCTTATATGGCCCTGCCACCCATAGTTTATTGACTTGGAAACTTTTGCATTGTTTAGATGTTAAAGTTTGTGTTTGTCAGTTTAAAGGGAACTTACATATGAGAAGTCAATGGTATTTGGTATGCAGTTGTATTGGCATTTACAATTTTCAAAGAGGTTATTCAGCCCTGCACCTTCAGTCATGTAAAAAAAAGAAGATGTGGTATGATTGCCAATGAGACAAATCTCCACAAGAGACCAAATGACACAGAAAATAACAGTTATAGGTCACTGTACGGCCTTCAACAATGAGCAAAGCCCATACCGCATAGTCAGCTATAAAAGGCCCTGAAAATGACAAATGTAAAACAATTCAAACAAGAAAACTAATGGCCTAATTTATGTACAAAAAATGAATGAAAGACAAATATGTAACACATCAACAAATGACAACCACTGAATTACAGGCTCCTGACTTGGGACAGGCGCATACAAACAGAATATGGCAAAGTCAAACATGTTAGAGGGATCTTTTGCTTTTTCAGTATTTTACTAATAGATTCACTTAGTTTTTTGCAGTGAATATTTACACAGTATCAGTCTGAAATTATTTTTTTTTTATTAAAACTCCTTATTTTTGCTCTAAAATCTGAACATTTTTAAATGTGATGATAATTTGATGAAGGCATATGTTATAATGTCTAATTGTTTCTGTTAAAGAAGATTTTAATCGATTGCATCATAAGTGGTGTAGTTGTGATGTCGATAATGTAGGGAAGTTCATTATAAACTGATTTTTGGCATAATTTTGCAAAATTTATGACCGCATTTTGAAAAAAATTAACAGTGGCCACCTACATCAACAAATACTTATGTTAGAAAATTCCTCATTTACCAATTTTTTTAGTTTTCACCATAATTTCAATAGGCGAGGGGTGGTGCCACATATAAAATCTTAAAACATGGTTTAAAAAGGTTGCAAATCTCTTGAAAAAAACATGATTTGGTGAATCAACTCATTTGTCTATCTGTTGAGATGAAGAAACCATATTATGAGTTTATTACTTTGAAGTTAATGTAGTCTGAAATTTGCCAAAAAAAATTTGACATGATTATTTAACTGGAAAATTACATTGAGCTGAATGCAGACCTGACTGAATTGTTATATTAATTTAACTCCCACTAGATAATATTCTTTGCACAGAAATAGATTTTTAATTGGGAAATGGACTTTTAAATGTTATTGTCTACCAAGTTTGAAGCAAGATGAAGGGAAGTCCTAATGAACTACTGATATGATATACATACCATTATCTTAGTCTGTCCATATCAATGATTTTGCCATATCCAAGGATTTGTATAGTAAGAAGGTTCTTTTACTATACAAATCCTTGCTATATCTATCTGCAAATGTGCACCCCACAAGTCACTGTTTTATGCAATTAATTTATTGGGTATCATAGCATAATATACAGAATGGCATTCTTAATTGCCACCAACTGTTTGTGGGAAGAATTTGTAAAATAACTTGTTACAATGTTTGCCAAAATCTACCATAATCCTTAAAACTTTTAAAACAAATAAAAACAATAGAATAAATTAAAGAATAACACACCTTTTCCTGTGAAGAAATGTGTTTACATTAGAACAAAATATTGGGGCCAAAATGGAATCATTAATAGAATCTGTGATAAAAAAAAAAACTCTAGAAAAGAATAGTATACAGACTAAGGTTCTTAGTGTGAGAAAAGACTTTTAAACAGTATAATTCAAATTCTAAAACAGGCATATAAATCATAACAAAGAGAGACATATGATATACTACTTTCATCCATCCATTCTCACAACTGTCATTCTGATTGGGAATGATTCATCAGGAAACCAATAAAATCATAAGTCAGTTGACCTGTTATGTACAAAGAGGGATAACTCGAACATTTTTTTAAAAACATTTTAACACCACAGAGCATATAAACAGAACACATTAATTTATATAATGTATCTAATTGTTATTAGTAAAGGCTTGGGTAAAGATTTTTTTTATATATTTTACAGACTACTGCTTACATAGCGACAGACGAATATATGTCTCTGTTACTTCCATTTTAATTTGGGTATTTTTTCCAAACAAAAGGGTAACCTATTCTACATGTTCTACAACTGAGAACAAATCGACTTAACTGGTAATACTTTTAACAGTCAGATATATATACAAGCAAAGGAAGAAAGATAAGTTACCGATCATGATGCCAGTGGTGTCACCTTTGGTCTGATATTGGCGAATTTCTGATTTTTTTTTTTACCAAATCATAAACTCCAGGAACTGTCAAAATGGCTTAGCTGTTTAATTCACCTTAATTTTGACCTTAACCGCATTATTATACTTCAATTTTGATTATAAAAAAAGAAGGCGAGACATTTCAACGTGTGCACGTGTGTTCAGCATAATCTATAAAGATCCGGAACATGTGGATGTCTAACGAGAAAACCAACGACCTGATTTGTGACAAAACAATTATACACTACAAAAAAAAACAATTACGACAGACAACAAACAACGACCACCAACGAACAACAGAATCCTGACTTGGGACAGCACATACAGAATGTGACGGGTTTAACATGTTTGTGAGCCTCTAACCCGCCTCCTTACCTTGGAAATTTGTGTAACAGTACAACATAAACGGCAAAAAAGGCTCGCTTCATTCAGGAACTTTCTAAACTATTTAATATAGAAACATGTTGAGAAAGTTCCTGCTTCATTAGATATGTCGTAAAACTTAAGGGAACGATAAGAAAGCCACGCAAAGCTTATTTCCCTTGAAGTTATTGTTAAACTTACACATTTTTTAAAACGTTTTCAATCCACACTAAAATTTAAAGCTTGGTATCGGTACTTTGAGTATGCAGCATCAGTATGTCATATTTCTGGCCATATAATTACCACTTATAATTATATGCTTAAAGATGGCGCCACCGCAAGTTTGAAACATTTAGGAAAACAAATTGTGTAACCCCTCCTAATTATATAAAGATGATCATTCATAACAAAAACAAAGACTCTTTAAGAAGTTTATAGGGTCTGCATTCTCTTTCAAATACAAACTATTTCGCGGTGTTTATTAAGATCTTCGATGCAAGTTTATACATTAACATGTAAAGTTTAAGATTGTGTCAAGCCCCTTTTAAAATCGAAGTTTGATAGATGTTTGCAAAATATGGTAAAACCATAAATCCCATCAGGTAGGCTCTTTTACATTAAAAATCAACGTTCGAATTATATTAACTTTAAACTTTTTATTAAGGATTTTACAAAACTCCTAGAACTTATTTCGGTGATTTTATAAAATTCCTATTCCAGAGCTGTTGATCCAATTGTACTGTTACATTTTATGTATTGCAATATTGTCTTATTTGGTTCAATTAATTTTCTTTTCAGCCGGAAGATTTATTTGTTCAGACAATACATGGCGAAGATATCAGCCATCCGCCACCGTCCAAAAAATTACGAAAAAGTCGATGTACTCCATTGTTCATGAATGCCTTTACCATGAGAGGTAAGCAGTGTCCTGAAGTTGAAATATTTAAGTGAAATTTCATCCATTATAGCAGCTACGAAGGAATGAGTTTATTTCTCATAAAACTAGTTACATTTTTTACATAGCTATTATAAAGAGAACATACATAAAATTTAACATAACTATAAGGTACAATTATTACATGCAAATGCAATAGCTATAAAAAATTGCTGTTGATCATTTTTCTAACGGCAGAATAATGTTTTTTATAAAGAAGCCGGTGCTGTAATACATACGCATTCAAAGCATGCTGTCATGGCAACACTTTTGTATCCTGGGACAGAATTTAGAATAACTCATCAAGAAATGATCAAAGGAATACAGAAGCATAACTCAGGTTTGTGATTAATACAACAAGGTTATTGTCTGTAACCGAAAGTACGCACTTAAATTAGATATCATCTATCTTACGGACTCGTGCTACAACGTTCCTTAATTGTACAATTGGTTTTCGTCTTCAGTATCATCAAAATGTGTCGCATGATGACGAACAAACAAACGTCAATCAATCATAAATGCAAGTCAATTATACATTTAGGGAGCTACCATTTGATTTTTATTGGGGGTGGGGGAAGGGCTAGGATCAAATTTTAAAAAAAAACGCAGGACAGGAGTTTTGAGTGAAAAAAACTGCAGGATGAGCAACTTGGCAAAACAAAAAGGCAGGATAACAATTTATGTAAAAAAAGTCAGGATAAACTAATAAAAGAGGCAGGACAGAATAGAGTGAAAAATAGAAAGGCAGGACAGAGATTACAACTAAAAAAAATATGCAGGACAAAATGTTTCATCCTAGCCCCCATAAAAATCAAATGGTAGCTCCCTTACCTGACTTAATTAATATTTTTACATTATAATGCGTCAATATAAAGATAAGGAGATGTGGTATTGTTTCCAATGAGACAACTATCCATGCAAAAGAGGTCAAATGAGGAGTAATACGCAATCATAGTCAACCGTACGGCCTTCAATAATGAGAAAAAAGCCATTCCGTTAGTCGACTATAAAAGGGCCCGACACGAAAAGTGTTAACCTATTCAAACGAGAAAACCAACGGCCTAACTTATAACAAAACAATTCACGAAAAACAAATATGACAGACATGAACCAACGACAATCACTGAAATCGGGACAGGCCAGTGGCAGGGTTAAAATGTTTGTGGGCGCTCAACCCTCCCCTAACCTGGGACAGTGGTGTAACAGAACAACATTAGAACAAACTATAAAAATCAGTGGAAATTGGCTTAACTCAAAAGATCGGTACGAGGCACAAAACAAACAACATAAAAACAATAGAAACAAAGCACCGGAATAAGAGTACTCGCAGTTAGAGATTGCTAGTTCAAAGCCAATTACATCTAATAAATAAATCATGTACTCTCAGACTAAAGTATCAATCATTACACATCCAACGGATTTAGTTAAACACGTCATAAATAGTCCGAGAAACGCACGACCTTGTGCTTTGCTAACATATAAGTAAACAGTTCACATAAATATTTATCCTAAAGTCAAGCTTGTTCTCATTTTGTTGTTGTTACGTTGTTATAGTGTTTTAATTTTCGTTTAATTTGATTTGTTTTCAGGCGGTAACTACAAATATGATGATGAATTGATCGTGCCTATTGTTGAAAATACACCAGAAGAAAAAGATCTAAAGGTAAATTAATTGTAAACCGATTTTCAAACCTCTGAAGTCCAATTCAAACATATAATTAACAAACCAAGTAAAAAAAAAATGCATGGAATCGATAAAACTAGAAACGAAGCTAACCCGGGTGAAGTGACACAACATGTCGAATGTTTTTCTTTTTAAATCCTGAACTGATAGATTAGATCATTCTATGTTTAGTTCAATATTTTCACTTTCAACTTAAAATTTCCAACAAATATCTACAATAAAATTAAATCTCGTTCTGTCTATAGAAATGAATAATGAAGGGATTGGTTTAAACGTCCAGCGGCAAATATCATATGCATTTCATAACGATAATGTGATGATTTGATAAAATAACGATTCCTACATTATACCAGACCAACACGATGAGTCATATTTTTAATGTGCTAGCTAGTTCACAAGGTATTGTCTACTTTCTTCTCCTTTCTGTCATTCTAACGTGTTCTATATTTTGTCTTCAAACCTATAAGTCTTTGCTACTTCATCTTAATACCGCGTGATAGTGGAGGAGAAGCAACTACCTATGGTTTTAATAGTTTCAAATTGATGAATTGACCCGATTGAGTATCTAATCTACGACACCCTCTATTCGAGCATGCTAACGTGAGTCTACCATAAAAGGCAACCAATTTGAAATCTGTACCTTTAGAGTGCATGTAGACACGTATAGATTGACGTAATTTCACTAAAAAAATTAATTTGCACATTTTGAGCTTTTCATATTTTACAGAAAAGAATGGCCTTGGCAATGGAAGATTATCCAGAATCCTGTGCTGTACTTGTTCGTCGTTATGGAGTTTATGTTTGGGGACAAACATGGGAGAAAGCCAAGACTATGTATGTTTTGAAAAGGGCTTCGATTAGGCTTCGTAATCAATTTTGATACATACAAACAAAGACAGCAACCAATAAGCAAAGAAAAAACATATACTATTTTGGCGCCGTACGAATCCGTTAAATTAAATAGAATATCAGATCAGTAAAACTCACTATACGCAACTATACAAGTCACAATCAGGGTCGATAACTCTGTCGGTTCAGATCGGCTGGTCGATAAGTTCTTACATTTAATTATGTGCTCTTTATCTCTCTGCACTAGGTCAAAAATTCGATAAAAACTTTGTCAAATAAAATTACCAGAAGAAAAGAAAAAAAAAATCAAAATCATTTGCATTGAGTTTAGGCTTAATTTTTTTTTATCAAAAGACAAATTTTACAAACAGAAAATTAAAAAATCGATGTATTTTACAATTGATATATATATGTTAAAACATTAAGAAGCTGAAATATATAAATATTTATCCAGTATTGTGATTCGGTAGAATTTCCCGGGGCAAAATATGTCGTTTTATAGTGTTACTAACTTAATTGCTGATTCTGTATTTGCCCATGTATCGATTCAAGGTCTGCTGTATTAGTCCCGAGGGCCGTAGGGCTAAGGGTCAATACAGCTGACCGAGAATCAATACAAGGAAAATACAGAATCAGCAAGTTAGTAACACTTTTATCAAATAATCAAAACAGTCCATATGACTGATCCGTATGGCCAGTCCGTATGGACAGTCCGTATGACAAGAAGTAGGCACAGCTGATCCGTATGATAGGAAGTAGCTACAGCTGGTCCGTTTGGTTGGTCCGTTTGGCCAGTCCGTATGACAGGAAGTAGATACAGCTGGTCCGTATGGCCAGTCCGTATGACAGGAAGTAGATACAGCTGGTCCGTATGGCCAGTCCGTATGACAGGAAGTAAATACAGCTGGTCGGTATGGCCAGTCCGTATGACAGGAATTAGATACAGCTGGTCCGTATGGCCAGTCCGTATGACAGGAAGTAGATACAGTTAGTCCATATGACCAGTCCGTATGACAGGAAGTAGATACAGCTGGTCCGTATTAAACGTATGGTTAATATGACTTGATCTTTTCAATTCCATATTAGTCATGCTGATTTAAGCATATAAGGGCCAATCAAAACATATTATTTAATAGATTACTTTGAAACTCTGGAAATAACCTTGTACACGGGATGATTATAACAAGTATTGATAATTTGGTTTGGCATACGTTTCTTGTGTAATACCTGAATAATTGTGTAATGTAGACTTTATATACCTGTCTGCAACTTGTGAGGCTAACCTGTTGTTTTACCTTTCTCAGAGACATACATACACACATGCAGGTATAAGTCTGTGCCATTCTATATTTTAATGCAGATGTTATAATATGTATGGACTGTTACAAAATTATTTTTTTTTGCATCGAAAAAAACTACTTAATATATAATAATCATGGACAAAACATGACATGCAACCGTCAGGAACCTGAGAAAAACTTAATATTAAAACTAATTGGTTTCCGAGTTTTGTAATGAAAAAATTTTTTAAAGTTCGGACTAGTAGCCATTTTTCTGACTAGTCTATATTTTTTTATATACGATTCTCTTAGACCAGACGTATTGCTGTATGAAATTTTCCGTCCGATTATTCCAGAATAAGTTTATAACAACAATACATTAAAAGATAAAGGTTGTTTTTGTTGCATAATCATGATAATATGTCACCGGATATATTTATCCATTTTGTTCATTATAAAGCATTTCATATTATTTGTGTTTTCAGTGTTGTATGTTTCCCATTCATATCATATTCATATTTCATATTCTTGATTCTTGACGATTGACGAAAATAGTTTTGCGCTGCGTATTTTGAAATAAACTATAGCTTTGTACGCTATGTTTTGCTTTGCGTACCGAATATTTAAATTAGTACAACAGAAAGGTAAAGCGATTCTTTATTATTATTTAAATGATATATATTTATATTCAAATAGCATGAGTTATGCATGAGCTCAAAGCGCGGCAATACTAACCATATATATATTAATACAATTTCACTTTTCGAGTGAGTCACTGGTCATTATTACAATCGGGGAGGCGGCAGACTAAAGTCACCGCTGCAGATTATATAATAAAGTATATATAAATTGGACGACTCATTTAATGCAGAAATGGCCCACACGCATTACCACGACAAGTTTATGGGTTTATGGTGACTTATTCCTCATCCCAAGTCGATGTATTATTGGTGTCCCATTTTTCCTGCGACATTTTAATTGGAGGTTCCACCGAGATCGTCCAACTTTATATGGTTTTGACAACGTAGATTTCTACATTTTATAACTAGAATGGTCTTGTGAAGTCCCGGTTCGTCATAACCAGTATTTGGCGTTTGCCGTTTATAATATTATACAGTCAAGTTCAAGAAATTAGTTCCGGAACAACGCACCGCTACTTCATGGTGAGACAACAACCATTTGTCAACTTTGATGTCAGCAACTGCTTTATATATTGTGAATTTACGACTGTGAAACCCTGATGTTTGAAAGGTATATTTGAAATTCATATTTCTTATAATGCGCATATCTACCGGGAAACTCATACTACATCATGTAAATATGTTTGATGTTATTCATTATTAGTAAAAGTCAATTTACAAATTTCAACTGAAACATGCACGGTCAGCATACCTGTGAAGGCGAATGTGTATTGCTTTATCACGTGACAACCTAGATCAACGTTCCGCACGGATGGAGAATTTTACAACTGTTGCCGGTGAACTGTAGTAGTATTTATTTGACATTCATTTATGAAAACAAATGTTATAAATATTTATTGATTTAAAAATTGTGTTTTATTGTTTGAATATATTTTATCATCTTTACTGTATTTTACAGATTTGATTATTGTTTGTGCATGAATAGAAGCACGCACCTGATTTAACAAGTTACGCACTAATAGTTACAGCAGCGACTTAAGAAAGCGACTTACATTGACACAGACATATGAGTAAGTTCATCATCATTACATCATTTTCATTTCATTCATGTGTATTGTCCTTGTTTTGTTTTGTTTATTTGGTGTTGTTTTTGTCGTTGGTTAAAGTACAAGTGATGGCTGAAGCGGAGTCAAAACAAGGTTTAAAAACTGAACCTAAGGTTTCAGAAGAACAGGTTCAGAAAATGATTGAGTTTTTGAATCATAATACAAGCTTTAGAGTTGTAACATCAGATGAGTTTGAGAAATTAAGTAGTGAGAAGCATGTATCTTTTGGACATAGTACTCCTATAAAGGGAACTACTGCTCATACTAAGCCTCCTTTGGCACCTTTTAGGTCTTCGTCTATAGCAAGAGTGGCAACTTATGCTGCAGGTTTTGGTAATAATACAACCGTTTCTTGTTCAAACTCTTCATGCAAAACCCAAGATACCTGTATTTTCTGGGGAAGAAAAGAGTGAAGTGTCTTTTGACGTATGGAAGTTCGAAGTTAAATGTATAATACGGGAAGGTAATTATACAGATACTATATTATTGCAGTGTATGAGAGGGTCCCTAAAGGGTAAAGCTAAGGGTTTATTGTTATCACTCCCAGCTGGGGCTACACCCACACAGATTATTGAAAAATTAGATGGGATATATGGAAATGTGTTCAGTAGTGAAGCATTGCTTCAAAAGTTTTACATGGAAACTCAGAAACAAGGTCAGTCTGTTGCTGATTATGGTATGAGACTTGAAGATATTGCCCAAAAAGCTGTTGAAAAAGGTCAAATTAACTCACAGGCTAAAAACGACATGCTTAGATCAAAGTTGTGGTCAGGTCTCAGAGATCCCCTTTTGAAAAACGCTAGTCGTTATAAATACGATACTGTTGAAAAATTTGATCAGTAACTGTTATTAAAAGAGATCCGATCTATTGAATTGGACTTATCAAATTATGCCTCAGGTTCTGACAATAAGATTCAACATCAACCTGCGGTTGTTGAACAGTCAGGTATGCAAGAGATGATAAAGTCCATGAAGCTCTTGAATACTAGAATGGAATCATTTGAGGGGGAGTTAAAGAAATTAAAAGAACGTAAACCTGATGATCATACAAGTTCGTCAAATAGTCAGTTTCGTGGCCAAGGTCGCGGGAACTATCAAGGGTCTGATAGAAGGGGTAGATTCAATAATAACCGTGGCTGGCGTGGCCGTGGCTATACAGGAAACCAACAAAACCAGAATTATAATTCTCAGACGAGGGGTTTAAACGGGTAAAGGTCTCGGTTGAGGGACAAACCAGAGACTTATATAGGCCTGAGAATGTGCCTAGTCCCAAACTTGTTGATACTCGTACGCAGAGCATTCTGGCTCAACGTATGATTGGTTTAGCAAATGAATCTTTTATTTACATTAATAATACAAAGTGTAAGGCTTTGATTGATACAGGGTCCATGATATCAACAATATCTGAAGGTATGTTGAATGAGTTAACACCTCCACCTGAATTGAAAAGTTTAGATGACTTTAGCTTATCAATTAGTGTGGCAGGAGGTACCACTTTACCGTATTTAGGTTACATAGAAGCTAGTATAAAGGTTGATTTTGTAGAGCAAGATTTTATGATACCATTGTTGGTTGTCTCTCTTACTGATTATAAAAAAAATGTACCTATTATTATTGGTACAAATGTAATCAGATTGTTAGATTCATGTTCTATGGTTGGTAGACAGCAAACTAAGATAGACAAGATCCCAAGAGAGTGGGATATTGCTTTTAATTCTATCAAAGATGAAGCAATAGGTCAAGTTTACTCTACAAATAAAAATCCCATCAAGATCAAACCTTTATCTGTCTTAAATGTATCTGGTTTAGCAAGGTCGAAGAAACCAGAAGCATGTATAGTAGTGACTGAGAGTCTGTCAGATGACTTGTCAGATGTGTCAGTATGCCAACGGGTAGTAAACGTTAAGGGGTCAACTTGTCGGGTCCCAGTTAGAATATTTAACATGACTGCCAAATAA